TGAAAATATTGTCGGGCATAAACCGGTCCGTGGCGCAAAAAAGGTTGGAGACCGCTGTTCTACAATACACCATTTTATTAAATAAATATTTAATATTTATTCAGGAAACACCAAAAACCCCATGCACAAAGATTCCCCACACTCCCTCTGGAGAGAAAAGTTCTCCCGGAACTTTTAAATGGTGTTTGGACCCCGAAACATTTGCCCAAACATCCTGGAGAGGACACAGAGGTGATGAGATTACTCACCTGTCTTTCCTATGGAATAGTCCAAGTGGTAGCAGCTTTAATTTCCCACTCAACCATAAATCGATGGTTCTTCAACGTGATTGTTGTCACCTTGTCAACTATAAATAGATCAACAATCAAGGATGACAGAACAACAGTGAATCAATGTTATTTCAATGTCAGTGTCAGGTTTCATCAGTATTTCAATGTTGTTTCAACATTGGTTTTGTGTTGACATTTCAATCCTGACGATTCTGATGGTTCAGATGGAAAATCAACATCTGTTCAATGTCTCCTTGCTATCTGGGCTCAGCAGCTACTTCTTTGCAGTACGTTAGACTTTGCACACACGTGCATTAGTTCTCCTTCATACTGGGCCTTATTTGCTCCCAGTAACAATTCTTTCCTCCGCACAGACAACCACCACATTTCTTGATGAGGAGCAGCCGTGCAGGAGCCGGAACAAAAGGCTACCTGCTAATTATTAAAATACTCAATAAATATTCAATAAATAATTAAACCTCTTGTGTGCAAATGTTACTGATGTGCAAACCTATGGTTAAATCGCTGTGCTAAATAAAGTGCTGTACAAATTATAATACAAATAAAGATAGTAAGGGAGTCCTCCTCCTTACATGCCAACATGGGTTCACTCAGTCTAAAATCATGCATGTTGGGTTAACTGACCATTCTGAAATGTCCAGATGTGTGAATGTGAAATATTATTTGTGTCCCTTTATGGGAAGCAGATGCCAGTAAATATTATTTCCTGAAACACAATTGCTGGTTCTGGTTCTGGGCAAAACATTAGGCGTTAGCAAGGTTTGTCCCCATAAAACACTGCAGAGCTGTTAGAGTTGTAGCTGTGACCTGTTGGACCTTATTATAACAATATAGCACAGGCATAAGGAGAACACGTAAACATGGCAAAGAAACGGCCACGCCAGCCAGGAAATTAGACCTTCTTGCTGCAAGGGGACGATGCTGATTTTCAACACGGCTGCCCAGCGACCC